TTGATTTAATTTCTTCATCATTTTTCAGCAGCCAACCCTGATTTTCTGAGTGTGACAAAGGGATAAAGGTTATCTCAGAAATTTTAAGCACACCAGGTAGATTATTTGATGTGCTGAAATTCAATTTAGAGAATGAAAACAACAAATGAAAATCTTTTTCCTATGCCAACCATAAAAAATTTCCTCTTACTAATTACTTTCACTTTTTTTTTTGAAAACAAACCTCAAGTTACACACCAAACTCGTTGGCACAGGTCTGGTGCCCTAGACCATATGTCTGAGGTTAAAAACTACAGCTAAGAGCACCGCTTGTTCGTTATTATGTTCTCTTCCTTTTAGTTTCCAACACAGAATTTATTTTTCCACTGCTACATATGCAGTCGGACCTGCAGCCAGTTCAGAATATGTCTTGCTTCTGCCACTGCTAGAGATTTTAATTCTTCATCATTATTCACCTTGCATTATGAGATACCATTTTCAATTCTAATTTCTTACAGCTTAAACTGAAATATCAAAACCATGACATAGCTACAGAAATCTATTCATACTTGGGTGTCTTCATGAGGAGATACACTCAAGAAAGACTATCATGGTATGGTAGTGAAGGGAGCCATACCAAAATGGCATTAGCTAAAATCACAGAGGGAGTTTTTATGTTCAAATAACCCCTCTTCCGCCCGAATCAATCTCTTTAGATTTCATACATGTGCTTCAATTATTCTTAATTCTTGGTTCATACAGCACATGACATTGAAGATTAAGGATGTTTTCCATCTGTACAGGACCAGTGAGGTTCATCCATATGGAGGCAGGGAGACGCAACACATAAAAGATTATTGTGCTTAATATAGGGAATGATGGGTGAAAAGCTTAAATGAAGTGATATACAGGGGTTAAATGAAGAAGACATAGTTGTATATAACTATGCAATCCTCCACTCTGAGGAAAGAAAGAAACGGTAATTCCCAGCAACTAACCTTGCTTTTATAGACATGCTAATAGACAGGATCTGTCCATTCTGAGTTTTTAAATTTCTGGTAACACCAAACAGATGTTACCTGGACCAGGGCTTTCTTGTGATTAGTGATTAAAAACATGAAGCTTCTTTGACCCAAGGCCTAGACCAGGGCTTTTCTTGTGATTAGTGATTAAAAATATGAAGCTTCTTTGACCCAAGTAATTTCAAATGTTCCAGAAGAAAGCACAAAAATAGGTTATGAAGACATTATGTGAATCTGTAAAGCTTTTTTTCAACCCTCTCAACATATGACTCTTATTTTAAAAACAACACAAAACAAAAAAAGCAACTCTGCGATACAGTAAGATATTCATAACTTGAGCACTTAACAAAAAGTACAAGAGGTTAATCTCTCTTTGTACAGTAGGGATGTAAAATGTTGGAAGCCACAGCTCTGTGAACTGATAAAAACCAGAAGTGTTACTTGTGTCAGTTACGCTATAAAATAGGTTATGGTCCTATCTATCAGTTGACAGAGTGGTAACACCACAGTCGTAATTAGCATTGACTGACAACTCTGGCCCAAGCTCAAGAGATGTAAAAAAAAAATAAATGAGCATAACATATCAACTCCTTGCCATCCACATTTGTATTTCTACAAGGAATATTAGTAGGATGCTGTGGAGAAATCCAAACTAATTTGAGAGTGAAAGCCTTTGTCTGCAAAGACAGCAGTGCTTTATTTTCAGTGTACCTGGAACTCATGAGTGAAAATTAACTGGGTGAGAATAAGTCTTTCTATATGAAAATACACACATTCAAATATTTAAGATACTAATCAAGTTTTGGTAAGTTTATCAGACATATGAATAGATGTTTGCAGCATGATTAAATCAAATATAAGTAAGAAAATGAAATGGTTCTTTAAAACCACTTGACGTATGCACAAATGTATTTAGCAAACTTACACTTGTTAATAACTCATTTAAGAATTGAGTGACAGATTTTATACAATTTGACAGCTATAACTGGATAGCACCCCACACGATAAAGTGAGACACACAGTTAACAGCACAAACAAGAGATAAAGTAGTATGTAAGCAAAGACTAATGGGAGCAACAGGAGCAAGGACAGGTCCCTGCAGCACCCTGGTGCACACATTTCTGCCACAGCTACCCCTGACATGTGTCTCCGGGCCCGCTGAGCTCTTCAGGCTCAGGCACCGGCAAGAAGCATCTCAGCAGTTACCTGCTCTCATAACCCGCTTGGCCTCTCTACCCAAATACCCGAAGGAAAGCA